AAAATATTGTACTGTAATTGGATTGATGTAATTATACAGTATATATTATATAATTTATGTATCTATTATATAATTATATATGTTTGAACATTTTTAAAAGATTTATTTATCAAATCTTTTTTATTTAATCTAATCGATTTCAATTGTTTATATGATTTTATGATTTATTTGCTTATTATATGTTTTGTATTGAAATATGAGATTTAATCTTATATACTGTACATACTGTATATGGTATACATTTTCATGTAATTATTCAAAAAATTAAAGCCCAATTTTATAACGGTAACAAAAGGTAAGAATTATATGCGATAAAAAAGAAGGATTTTTTTTTTGCCAATATTTACTTATTTCTTTTTTTGCTTGCAATCTTACATTGCTTCTTCATGACATTGAGTCTAAAATATTTTGAAAATAGAAGCTTACAGTATAATTTTCTTTTGAATAAACTACTATGTTACTTGTTTTTGGAAAAATTTTCAATTTACAATAAAGATTGGATCATGCAAAGTCTATACGCGCCAAAATGATATTCGAATTACCTTGAACATAGATATAACCACTTTATCTTAAGAATGCATAAATTATAAATTCCGAAAAAATACCTGTTCGTACCTAAAATTAGTTTATTGGTATATAAGAAAATTACACATAACTTATCCGTAATTTAATATAAGAGAGGTAAATAATACACGTAGTAAACCAGCATACAATAATTGGAAGGTAATAAAAATAAATAAATCATAATGATAATAATAGATATATCCCTTAAATATTAGAGACATAATAGGAATTCTACATAATTCGTGGCGCACACCTTAAGAATTTTGAATGATTGGCCGAAAATATCTATTTCAAATTTCAAATCATTCCTTAAATCCAAATGCCACTGCCATTCCACGCAAGCTTGTCATTCATGCTTTTGCTCGACACGGATTCTACAATCTTGATTCCTTCTTCATCTAGTTTCTCCAATATGGGATTATATATATGCGGCAATGTCGGGGTTAAGACTCCCTTATCTGGTATCCCACCTAAGAAAATGAATCGACGTTAAAAGGTGTTTGACAGGGAGATTGCATTACAGCGAATTTAAATGGTTACCTCGTGCGATCATTTCGGCTGCCATAGCGGCGGGTAACCCCACAGTCTTCGCCATAGCTGTATATGATCCGAATGAGCCATAGCTCGTTAGCGTCGAAGTTTTCGTTTCCTAAATTTGAAATGGTTAATATAATAGAATAAATCAATTAACAATATATCATGCGATACCTCGCGTCCATCCTTGAGCCTAACCCCAAACTCATGGTGTAGTACCAATAAATCTCTCTCTCCGGGATTATATTTTAATTTATCTTGTAAGAGTACACAAAATAAATCTAGCGGAGATATTGGATTTTTGAATTTTTGTGAAATTTGTAATGGAGTATCTTGCGTCTGAATTAATGATAGCCTAGGGGCAGTAGTAACAGATATTATATTACAATAATTGATTAAATAGATCTTCTTTAACGGAATGATGCGGTATAAAAAGACAATTACCATTCTAATGAATTCACAACTGTCTCCACCATGTTATGATTAAGGGGTAGGTCTAGCTTTTGTGAAATGGCTGAAATTCTGGAAGACATATTCATATTTGACCTTCTGGGAGTGTCAAATAACAAATCATCAAGAAACTCTGGCTGTGCACGGGTATATAGAGTAAGTTTTAAATCTAGAGAG